GGCCGGGCTCAGACCTGCGCCCGGGAAGCTCAGCGCCCCGGGCACCCGCAGGAATAGCAAGGCAGGCGCAGAGCGACCGGGCCCTGACTGAGGGTGGTGGCAGGTCCCCTGCCGGAAGGGCGCCCAGAGAAGCGCCACTCCCACCCGCCGAGCGTGTGGCCGGCACAGAGCAGAGAGCACAGAAGCGGGCGCCTGGCACGGCAGCACGGGCATCCCGCGCGGGCTGGGACGCCTGTGCCCGGAGGGCCTAGATCACGCTGGTACACGGCAGCGTCCGGGCACTCCACGCAGGGCGGGGGCCCGTGCCCACAGTGACGTGATGCCCCCGGGCACCGCCCCACCTGGCCTCTTCCGGGGGGTCCTCTGTCGAACTCCATCCACGCTGGGACCCCGGCCGCGGGCACCTCCCTGGCCTGCTGCCCACGAGTGGGAGGAGCCGGCCCCTGAGCCCCAGGCCCACGTCAAAGGGAGACAGCGAAGGCTTTTTACATCAACTATGGTGGCTTCTCGCAAGATCTGGTTTGCTAATGATTTTCCCTGGGTTTTGAGTCAAAGGTCACAAGGGAAAATGCCCTGCGGCCAGTTTTCCCCATATCGTCCTCGTCGGGTTCTAGTTTGGCGGTTTCGCTGGATTCCTAAAGGCGCCCGGAGAACGTGTCCTGTGCCTGCGGTCTGGAGGAGTTTGGGGACACGCAGTCTGGAGGAGTTTGGGGAGACGCATTGGTAGAGCTCACAGGGCCATCTAGCTGGACCCCTTCAGGCTTGGTGTGTTTGAGAAAGGCGTTTAACGGCAAATTCTGTTTCCGACACAAGACTGTTTGGACATTCTCTAGCTTTTGAGTCCCTTTTAGTTTGCTTTCTGGGGACTGTCCCTTTCATCAGCACTGTGAGTTTGTGGGAAGCCAGCTGTTTGCGCCTTCCCTCCGGCGTCTCCGCAGTGACGTCTCCTCCTTCCCCCTGAGGTTGCCACTTGGCTCGTCCCCCCCCAGTTGTTCTCGCTTCTCAGACAGCCTGTCTGTATGGCCATTGTGTTCCCTGGTGGTCTAAACGTATGTCCTTAATTTCCAAAAACACTTGGGAACCTTTTTTCACTAGAAGCTAGTTCAGATTTCTAACTGGGTGAAAAGCGTTCATTGAGTGGTTGTCTCTGCTTGCAAATCATCGCGACTCGCCTTAACTTTCAACGCAAATTCCACCGTGGACTTGAGAAGAGTGTTCTGTTGTTACAGCGTCAGCTTGGGTCAGTTTGCCCCGGTGACACTCTGCGTCCTCAGGGTTTGGTCCGCCTGCGTATCTGGTGGTGACTGACCGAAGCACTAGCGTCTCCCAGCTTTCCTTGTCCTCCCTTCGGGTTCCGGCAATTTCTGCTCTCTGTATTTTGAACCCAAGTTAGCAACTGTGACACACTTCACAATTACTTTGTCTCCCTGACACATCAACACGTCTTACCGTCATTGTGTGTACTTTTTCACCTCTAGTAACGATGGTTTCCTGCGAGTTAGCTTTGACACCAGCATGCACGGGTTCCTCCGGTTATTTGCACGCAAGCATGGCCCCATGCATTCCCTTTCACGTGCCTCGCTCCTTTACTGGTCTGTTTATAAACAGACGGTCTTTAATCACATGTGCCAGTTGTTGTCTTTAAGAGTTTTTGATCATTTACGTTTAGTGTAATCGAGTCTAAATCTGTGGCAGTCTTTTCCAGTCAGCCGGTCTCTAAACAACCCCATTTCCATTCAGAAAATAGCTCAGTAACACCAGTGACATCCTTATTTATTCTTTCTCTGACTGTTGTGGGACAGAGAGAGCCCCAGGGAGCGAAATAACGCAGAGAGCCACACCTGCAGCTCGGCGCCCTGGGAATTCTGCTTGTAACGCCAGCCGTCACCGTGGTGTTCCTCCCCGACCCCGACAGTGGCAACACCTACCGCGGCGGCGGCTCTCGCGTTCTTTATTACTAAAGTACCGTGAACCTTCGCTTCCCATTCCAGGGCTGTGACTCCCAGGTGAGCATGTCGGAAATGTCCTGCACCGAAAGCGCGACCTCGTGTCAGTCCCTGGAGCACGGCTCCGTCCCCGAGATCCTCCTCGGCCTGCTGTACAACGCCACCACCGGGCGCCTGTCGGCCGAAGTGATCAGAGGCAGCCACTTCAGGAACTTGGCGGCGAACAGGCCGCCCGGTGAGTGAGACCGTTCTTCAGTTCCCGTATTTCTGCGCTTGCAGGACTCAGTGTTAGGGGCTCCAGTCCCGCCCTGTAGCCCGAGCCAGTCAGCACGAAATGCTGTGGCCATCAGCTTCTCTGTGTCGTGTTCTCTATTTCCAGTCACTTGAGGCGTAGGAAAAGTTGGAGGCGAACGGTTACGCGAGCAGGCGACACGTGGCTGCTCTTGGTGCCCGCAGAGTGGGTCGCCCCTGTCGTAGCCGTGATCGCCTGGTGCCAGAGAGTGTGGCCGTGGCCGGCCGCGGGCCAGCGCAGACCCCCGACCGCTTGCGAGGAAGCCGATGGCTTTCTTCACATCCTCCGGCCTAAGGACCCCACGTCCGTAGTGCCGTCAGGGCCCCGAAGCGCCGCGCCCTCCCCAGCACAGGCGAGGGGAAGAGCGCACGCTCGCCCCAGGGGTCCGTGCCCCGGCGCCCGCCG